GGCGCCTATTAGGGGAGTGGCGCCTATTAGGGGAGTGGCGCCTATTAGGGGAGTGGCGCCTATTAGGGGAGTGGCGCCTATTAGGGGAGTGGCGCCTATTAGGGGAGTGGCGGCGCCTATTAGGGGAGTGGCGCCTATTAGGGGAGTGGCGCCGCCTATTAGGGGAGTGGCGCCGCCTAGTAGGGGAGTGGCGCCGCCTATTCGGGGAGTGGCGCCTATTAGGGGAGTGGCGCCTATTAGGGGAGTGGCGCCTACTATTAGGGGAGTGGCGCCTATTAGGGGAGTGGCGCCTATTAGGGGAGTGGCGCCTATTAGGGGAGTGGGGCCTATTAGGGGAGTGGCTGGCGCCTATTAGGGGAGTGGCGCCTATTAAGGAAGTGGCGCCTATTAAGGAAGTGGTGCCTATTAAGGAAGTGGCGCCTATTAGGGGAGTGGCGCCTATTAGGGGAGTGGCGCCTAGTAGGGGAGTGGCGCCTATTAGGGGAGTGGCGCCTATTAGGGGAGTGGCGCCTATTAGGGGAGTGGCGCCTATTAGGGGAGTGGCGCCTATTAGGGGAGTGGCGCCTATTAGGGGAGTGGCGCCTATTAGGGGAGTGGCGCCTATTAGGGGAGTGGCGCCTAGTAGGGGAGTGGCGCCTATTAGGGGAGTGGCGCCTATTAGGGGAGTGGCGCCTATTAGGGGAAAGGCGCCTATTAGGGGAGTGGTGCCTATTAGGGGAGTGGCGCCTATTAGGGGAGTGGCGCCTATTAGGGGAGTGGCGCCTATTAGGGGAGTGGCGCCTATTAGGGGAGTGGCGGCGCCTATTAGGGGAGTGGCGCCTATTAGGGGAGTGGCGCCGCCCATTAGGGGAGTGGCGCCGCCTAGTAGGGGAGTGGCGCCGCCTATTCGGGGAGTGGCGCCTATTAGGGGAGTGGCGCCTATTAGGGGAGTGGCGCCTACTATTAGGGGAGTGGCGCCTATTAGGGGAGTGGCGCCTATTAGGGGAGTGGCGCCTATTAGGGGAGAGGCGCCTATTAGGGGAGTGGCGCCTATTAGGGGAGTGGCGCCTATTAGGGGAGTGGCTGGCGCCTATTAGGGGAGTGGCGCCTATTAAGGAAGTGGCGCCTATTAGGGGAGTGGCGCCAATTAGGGGAGTGGCGCCTATTAGGGGAGTGGCGCCTATTAGGGGAGTGGCGCCTATTAAGGGAGTGGCGCCTATTAGGGGAGTGGCGCCTATTAGGGGAGTGGCGCCTATTAGTGGAGTGGCGCCTATTAGGGGAGTGGCGCCTTTTAGGGGAGTGGCGCCTATTAGGGGAGTGGCGCCTATTAGGGGAGTGGCGCCTATTAGGGGAGTGGCGCCTATTAGGGGAGTGGCGCCTATTAGGGGAGTGGCGCCTATTAGGGGAGTGGCGCCTATTAGGGGAGTGGCGCCTATTAGGGGAGTGGCGCCTATTAGGGGAGTGGGGCCTATTAGGGGAGTGGCGCCTATTAGGGGAGTGGCGCCTATTAGGGGAGTTGCGCCTATTAGGGGAGTGGCGCCTATTAGGGGAGTGGCGCCTATCAGTGGAGTGGCGCCTATTAGGGAAGTGGCGCCTATTAAGGAAGTGGCGCCTATTAAGGAAGTGGCGCCTATTAGGGGAGTGGCGCCTATTAGGGGAGTGGCGCCTAGTAGGGGAGTGGCGCCTATTAGGGGAGTGGCGCCTATTAGGGGAGTGGCGCCTATTAGGGGAGTGGCGCCTATTAGGGGAGTGGCGCCTATTAGGGGAGTGGCGCCTATTAGGGGAGTGGCGCCTATTAGGGGAGTGGCGCCTAGTTAGGGGAGTGGCGCCTATTAGGGGAGTGGCGCCTATTAGGGGAGTGGCGCCTATTAGGGGAGTGGCGCCTATTAGGGGAGTGGCGCCTATTAGGGGAGTGGCGCCTATTAGGGGAGTGGCGGCGCCTATTAGGGGAGTGGCGCCTATTAGGGGAGTGGCGCCGCCTATTAGGGGAGTGGCGCCGCCTAGTAGGGGAGTGGCGCCGCCTATTCGGGGAGTGGCGCCTATTAGGGGAGTGGCGCCTATTAGGGGAGTGGCGCCTACTATTAGGGGAGTGGCGCCTATTAGGGGAGTGGCGCCTATTAGGGGAGTGGCGCCTAATAGGGGAGAGGCGCCTATTAGGGGAGTGGCGCCTATTAGGGGAGTGGCGCCTATTAGGGGAGTGGCTGGCGCCTATTAGGGGAGTGGCGCCTATTAAGGAAGTGGCGCCTATTAGGGGAGTGGCGCCAATTAGGGGAGTGGCGCCTATTAGGGGAGTGGCGCCTATCAGGGGAGTGGCGCCTATTAAGGGAGTGGCGCCTATTAGGGGAGTGGCGCCTATTAGGGGAGTGGCGCCTATTAGTGGAGTGGCGCCTATTAGGGGAGTGGCGCCTTTTAGGGGAGTGGCGCCTATTAGGGGAGTGGCGCCTATTAGGGGAGTGGCGCCTATTAGGGGAGTGGCGGAGCCTATTAGGGGAGTGGCGCCGCCTAGGGGAGTGGCACCGCCTATTAGGGGAGTGGCGCCGCCTATTAGGGGAGTGGTGCCTATTAGGGGAGTGGCACCTATTAGGTAAGTGGCGCCTATTAGGGGAGTGGCGCCTATTAGGGGAGTGGCGCCTATTAGGGGAGTGGCGCCTATTAGGGGAGTGGCGCCTATTAGGGGAAAGGCGCCTATTAGGGGAGTGGCGCCTATTAGGGGAGTGGCGCCTATTAGGGGAGTGGCGCCTATTAGGGGAGTGGCGCCTATTAGGGGAGTGGCGCCTATTAGGGGAGTGGCGGCGCCTATTAGGGGAGTGGCGCCTATTAGGGGAGTGGCGTCGCCTATTAGGGGAGTGGCGCCGCCTATTCGGGGAGTGGCGCCTATTAGGGGAGTGGCGCCTATTAGGGGAGTGGCGCCTACTATTAGGGGAGTGGCGCCTATTAGGGAAGTGGCGCCTATTAGGGGAGTGGCGCCTATTAGGGGAGTGGTGCCTATTAGGGGAGTGGCGCCGATTAGGGGAGTGGCGCCTATTAGGGGAGTGGCGCCTATTAGGGGAGTGGCGCCTATTAGGGGAGTGGCGCCTATTAGGGGAGTGGCGCCTATTAGGGGAGTGGCGCCTATTAGGGGAAAGGCGCCTATTAGGGGAGTGGCGCCTGTTAGGGGAGTGGCGCCTATTAGGGGAGTGGCGCCTATTAGGGGAGTGGCGCCTATTAGGGGCGTGGCGCCTATTAGGGGCGTGGCGCCTATTAGGGGAGTGGCGCCTATTAGGGGAGTGGCGCCTATTAGGGGAGTGGCGCCTATTAGGGGAGAGGCGCCTATTAGGGGAGTGGCGCCTATTAGGGGAGTGGCGCCTATTAGGGGAGTGGCGCCTATTGGGGGAGAGGCGCCTAATAGGGGAGTGGCGCCTATTAGGGGAGTGGCGCCTATTAGTGGAGTGGCGCCTATTAGGGGAGTGGCGCCTATTAGGGGAGTGGCTGGCGCCTTTAAGGGGAGTGGCCCCTATTAGGGGAGTGGCTGGCGCCTATTAGGGGAGTGGCGCCTACTAGGGGAGTGGCTGGCGCCTATTAGGGGAGTGGCGCCTATTAAGGAAGTGGCGCCTATTAGGGGAGTGGCGCCTATTAGGGGAGTTGCGCCAATTAGGGGAGTGGCGCCTATTAGGGGAGTGGCGCCTATTAGGGAAGTGGCGCCTCCTAAGGGAAGGCGCCTGCCTCCTTTGGGAGAGGCGCCTATTAGAGGAGTGGCAACTCCTAGGCGAAGACGCCTGCCTCCTTCAGGAGAGGCGCCTATTAGAGGAGTGGCGCCTCCTAGGGGAAGGCGCCAGGCGCCTATTAGAGGAGTGGCGCCTCCTAGGTTTAAGGTTTAGGGTTTAGGGGGGAAGGCGCCTGCCTCCTTTAGGAAAGGCGCCTATTAGAGGAGTGGCGTCTCCTAGGGGAAGGCGCCTGCCTCCTTCAGGAGAGGCGCCTATTAGTGGAGTGGCGCCTCCTAGGGAACGGCGCCTGCCTCCTTTAGGAGAGGCGCCTATTAGAGGAGTGGCGCCTCCTAGGGGAAGTCGCCTGCCTCCTTTAGGAGAGGCGCTTATTAGGGGAGTGGCGCCTCCTAGGGGAAGGGCGGAGGGCGGAGGGTGGAGGGTGGAGGGCGGAGGGCGGAGGGCGGAGGGAGGAGGGCGGAGGGTGGAGAGGGCGGAGGGTGGACGGTGGAGGGTGGAGGGTGGAGGGTGGAGGGCGGAGGCAGGAGGGCGGAGGGAGGAGGGAGGAGGGAGGAGGGCGGAGGGCGGAGGGTGGAGGGAGGATGAAGGAGGGAGGAGGGAGCGGGGCGGAGAGAGCGGAGGGCGGAGGGAGGAGGGCGGAGGGTGGAGGGTGGAGGGAGGAGGGCGGAGGGCGGAGGGCGGAGAGGGCGGAGGGTGGAGGGTGGAAGGCGGAGGGCGGAGGGCGGAGGGCGGAGGGTGGAGGGTGGAGGGAGGAGGGCGGAGGGAGGAGGGAGGAGGGCGGAGAGGGCAGAGGGCGGATTAGAGGAGAGGCAGCTCTTAGAGGAGAGGCGCCTGCCTCTTAGATGTTGCTCTTGAGGCGATGTAGTTGGTGGGGTGAGGAGAGAGGAGTGGAAAAAGGAGAAGGGATGGGAGGGGATGGGAGGGGATGAGAGTAAATGGGACGGGTGAGGAGGGGATGGGAGGGGAAGGGAGGAGGGCGAGAATTTCCAAAAGTCCCAAGAGGGAACCTCATTGTTGGAGGCAACATAGCTGGTGGGGTGAGGGGCGAGGAGAAATGAAACAGGCGACTTTGATTTTGGCAAATATCCCTCTCGACCCATCCAGATCCCTCTCCATGGCCCTCACTTGCCCATACATCTCCTCTTGAGACACATCGCTCTTGTTCTGAGACGCCTCATCACTCACTCATTGATCTTCACGAATATTCCTCTCATTCCATCCAAAACTCTCTCCACATGCCCCTCACCTGCCCCTGCATCTCCGCCTCCTTATGAGGCGCCTCAAAGGCTGTCCCCTGGTTTGAAATGCCTCAACACTCACTCTTCGATCTTCTTGAATATCGCTCTCGTCCCGTCCAGGTCCCTCTCCATGCCCCTCACCCGCCCCTGCATCTCCGCCTCCTCCGCCCCTGCCTTCTCCCGCCATACCCTCCGCCCCTCCACTGCCTCCCCATGCTTCTTCCTCAGAGGCCCCATGCTCCGCTCCAGTGCCTGGTGATTGCAGGATTGGGGGAAGCCAGGTGAGTCAAGTACAGGAGAAGATTGGCAAGGGACTGCGACAGAGGAACTTCAGTCAGCAAATGAATCGGCTAACACGGCTCCCTCATTCTCCCGCCACACCTTCCGCCCCTCCACTGCCGCCCCATGCTTGCTCCACCGCCGCCCCATGCTTGCTCCTCAGACGCCCCATGCTTGCTCCTCAGAAGCCCCATGCTTGCTCCTCAGAAGCCCCATGCTTGCTCCTCAGAAGCCCCATGCTTGCTCCTCAGAAGCCCCATGCTTGCTCCTCAGAAGCCCCATGCTTGCTCCTCAGACGCCCCATGCTTGCTCCTCAGAAGCCCCATGCTTGCTCCTCAGACGCCCCATGCTTGCTCCTCAGACGCCCCATGCTGCGCTTCCCCTTCCCCACCGAGTCTTTAGACATCTCAGAGCAGCGCTCACCTGTATTTCCAGTTGACTTTTGAGTCGACTCAAAAGTCAACCCACCGAGTCAATAGACATCTCAAAGCAGCGCTCACCTGTATTCCAGTTGAATTTTGAGTCGACTCAAAAGTCAACCCACCGAGTCAGTAGACATCTCAAAGCAGCGCTCACCTGTATTTCCAGCTTGCTCCCTTCAACCGCCACCTCCAGCTGCCCCACCTCCTCCTCCATCTTCCCCCATGCCACTCTCAGAGCCATTTGCGGTCTCTCCTTCCTCAGCCTCCCCACCAAGCCTTTAAAGGTCTCAGAAAACAGCGCTCACCTGTATTTCCAGCTTGCTCCCTTCAATCGCCACCTCCAGCTGCCCCACCTCCTCCTCCATCTCCCGCCGCCTCGCCACTCTCAGAGCCATCTGGGCCCTCTCCTCCCGCGCCCCCCGCCACCTGTTGCTGGCTGCTGCTGCCTCGTCCTTCAGTGCTGCATGCTCCTCCCTCAGCCTTTCCACATCCCCTGCTGCTGCATCTCTGCAGTACAGCACACCATAGGCACAGGACCGAGGGAGCGTGACGAGGGGTAAGGGACGAAAAGAGACCCCTGAGCATGTAAATAAGAAGCGTTTGCACACAAGCTTTCCTCGTCCATATGCCCGATCCCTTCATCCACCCCCCGTTTCCCCTCTCTCACCACCTCTCCCCTGCAGCAGAAGCAGCCAGCTCACCTCTTCTCCTCCACAGCAGCCAGATCGGCATTTTCATCCGCCAATGAGCGCATGGCCTGGGAGAGCGTGTCCAGGCGGTAACCCAGCTCCTGCACCTCCTCACCTCCCTCCTCAACCTCCGTGCCTATATTCAGAACCATGCAGCAGCAGCAGCCTCACCTCTTCTCTTCAGCAGCAGCCAAATCAGCATAGACATCAGCCAGGGAGCGCATGGCCTGGGAGAGCGTGTCAAGGCGGTACTCTAGCTCCTGCACCTCCGCTTTCCCCCACTCTCCCCCTCCTTCCTCACTCTGTCCCACCTCCCATTCCTCACCTCTTCTCTTCAGCAGCAGCCAGGTCAGCATTCACATCCGCCAGGGAGCGCATGGCCTGGGAGAGCATGTTGAGGCGGTACTGCAGCTCCTGCACCTCCTCACCTCCTGCCTCATCCTCCGCGCCTGAACCCAGAACCCAGCAGGAGGAGCACAGCAGCAGCAGCAGCCAGCTCACCTCTTCTCTTCAACAGCAGCCAGATCAGCATTGACATCAGCCAGCGAGCGCATGGCCTGGGAGAGCGTGTCCAAACGATACTCCAGCTCCTGCACCTCTGCTTCCCCGTTCTCCGCCTCCTTCCTCACCCTCTCCGCGTCCTTTACTATCAACTCCACCCGCCCCGCTGCGTCTAGCTTCGCCTTGGCCTCTGCCAGCAAGCACAGCAGCTGGAAAGTGAAAGGAGAGAGGGGTGAAAGGAGGAAGGGGCAGGGGGGTGGAAAGGGTGGGAAACAGAGAGTGAGGAGCCTGCTGTCGGATCGACCAGGTGTGGCACCAGAGGAGACAAGATTCAAGACAATGTTAAGGAGACTTCGAGGCATGATGACGACACGAACACATGGCTGCGACAAAGGCAGGCACACATGGATGTATGTATGATAGGGAGGGAACACACACAGGATGAAACACAACGAGACGGCGCAATGTTACTCACATTCTCATGGTTCTCCTGGGCCTTGCTCTGGGCTTCCTCCACGTGGCCCACTACCACCCTGGCACGTGGCACCAGCTCATCCACCAGCTTCCTGTACTCGTTATAAACAGGATGCAGATCATCCAGAATCCCCAGCTTCTGCGCAAGCCCCTCCCGCTCCCGCTTCAACTCAGCCTCCTTGTTCCCAGCGTTCCTGTTCTTGTTCTTTATCTTCTCCACAAATTGCTCCTCCTCTTCCCGGGAGAAGCCTCTTTCACAAGTTGGGCAGCAGTGCCTACGCCGAGCCACTTGCTCGAATTGTGCCACAAACTTCTTCATTTCCACAAATGTCTCGTACGCCCTGCGAACAAGAGAAGAAAGTTTTGCGGGGACAAAATATCTCATGGAGCATGGGAGAGAGTGGCGCATTGCGAGCTTGCTCTAAGCATCCAGCAAGCACACAACCTCGTACATAACCCAGGAAACCAAAACGATGCACCCACATACCCATTCATGCACTCACCCAATAACGTCCTCCAGCGACGCTCTCTTCAACCCCCTCCCTCTTTCCAAGTCCTCCAAGGCAAGAGACGGGTCCCAGTGGCATCGCCCATGCACACGATCAATGCACCAATGCACTCACCCGATAGCTTCCTCGAGAGCAGTTCTCTTCTCTCCTCGTACTCTCTCCAAATCGTCCACTGCAAGAGATGGATCCACTGCCTTGCTCAGACGCGTCTGAATAAGGACTCGCTTGGCTGGGGGGAGGATCACGGGGGAGAAGCGTAGGAGGCAATGGGAAATGGTGGAGAGGGATGGGGAGAAGGCGGGCATTATTGCAGATGTGCACACAGATGATAAAGGGGAAATTGATTGATTCACTTCAAACCACACGACACCACACTGCTGCTGTTCCTAAGCTCACCAGACCACATCACACCGTGCTGCACCGCACTGAACCACTCACTATCCATCTCGTTGCTGTGCCTGTTAAGTTCGCTCCGTGCATGGTCCAGCCGCTGCTGCTGCACTGCTGCCTCGTTGCCCGCCTCCTTGGCCTTCACATCTGCCTCCTCATACACCACTCGCTGCGCCCTGCATGCATACATTTAAATGGGGGTGGTAGGTCGGGAAGGGAGAGAGGGGTAAAAAGGGGAGGACGGGGGATTGGGAGGTACAGGGGCAGGGGGAGATAAGACCTTCAAAGTAAGTCTCTGTAAGTCATTTCACTACCATGCAAAGTATAGTGCATATGCCCGAAACCCTAGACTGTAGCAGCATAAATCCCTACTGCTCCCCTTGCCCCCCACACCTTTTCCCTGGTGCAACACACCCCCTCCACTTGCACCCCACGCCCCTCCCCTTACACCCCACACCCCTCCCATTGCGCCCCACACCCCTCCCCTTGTGCCCCGCCCCAACCCTTGCACCCCACAGCCCCTCCCCTTACATCCCACACCCCCCACCCTTTCCATTTACACACCTGATCGCCTTTTCAACCTCCCGAACCAGCTTGCTTGTTTCTGAAGGCATCTCCCCGCCCAGCACCTCCTCTATCCGCCCCTTGTTCTCTGCCAGCCTGCCTTGCAGACAAAGGTGGGAAGAGTATGTAGAGGATGGAGGGCATTGGCAGATGAACAAGAAAAAAACAGAAAACGAAGGTGAATTGAAGAAGACGTGAAGACGGGAGGGAGGTTGACACGGCAAGGGTAAGAACGGTGAGAGGAACAAGGGATTAGAAAAGACAGAACAGAGCAGAGCAAGGGGGTGGGTGGGGGGAGAGGGGGGTAGGAGAAGCAAGGGAACATGAGGGTGGGGAACAGAGAGCAAAAATCGCCAAACGATCCATCCAGACAACGTAATGCAGAACTCGGTATCACGAGCCAAATCACACCAAGAACAACTCACAGCTTCTTCAGCTGAGCCTCCTTCTCCCTCACCGCCTCCTGCTTCAGCCTCAGCGTCACCCTCTCGCTGCTCTCTGCCGCCAGGCTGTCTTTCTCCCGCTGCAGAGCCTTCAGCCGCTGCTCCTGCCGGCTCAGGTCTGTTTTGGCATCCTCCAGCTTGGAGAGGAGTGTGGGGTCTCGTAGCTTGGTTGCGAGTCTGTCCGCCTCAGCTTTCTGCATGGGATGGGACAAGTGTGGCAACACGTTACAAACAGACACTGTGAGTTGGCTAAGAAGTCAAAGCTGCTCCTGCCCAGGTCCTTTTTCGCATCCTCCAGCTTGGACAGCAGTGTGGGGTCGCGCAGCTTGGTTGCCAGCCTGTCAGCCTGTCCGCCTCTGCTTTCTGCATTGAATGGGAGTAGTGTTGCAACACACGGTCACTGTGAGTTAACTAATTGTTGCTGCTGCTCCTGCCAGCTCAGGTCTGTCTTGGGTAGTAACAGGCGAACACCTAGAGCAGGGTAGGAGGCGGACGCCTAGAGCAGGGTAGGAGGCGGACGCCTAGAGCAGGGTAGGAGGCGGACGCCTAGAGCAGGGTAGGAGGCGGACGCCAAGAGCAGGGTAGGAGGCGGACGCCAAGAGCAGGGTAGGAGGCGGACGCCAAGAGCAGGGTAGGAGGCGGACGCCTAGAGCAGGGTAGGAGGCGGACGCCTAGAGCAGGGTAGGAGGCGGACGCCTAGAGCAGGGTAGGAGGCGGACGCCTAGAGCAGGGTAGGAGGCGGACGCCTAGAGCAGGGTAGAAGACTGAGGCCTTACCGCTTTCTTCTCTTCTCGCTCCAGACGAGCCATGCCGTCCTCGTCCACACTGCTGCTCTCCATCGCTTCCTTCACCTGCTGCCTCCTCGCCTCGCTGCTCCTCTGCCCATTGCACACACCACAACCGGCAAAAAAATACCAGGTAGGTATTAGAGCAGGCGCACAGGAATCACAGGCACGAACCATGACTCGTAAGCCACATGAGTCAACGGTAAACAAGAACCAGGATATTCCAACACGCTAAAAAACTCAAATCTATAACCCCCTCTCTATCTCCAATTCAAGCTCTTATCTCACCTTTCTCTCCTGTGCCATCTGGAGCTGCCCCTCCGCCTTCACAATCTCTCCCCCAGCAGCCTCAATCTCCGCCCCCCGCCGCCGCTCCTCCTCCTGCTGCCCCCGCTTCATCTCGTCCCACCGCTGCTGCAGCTGTGTCAGCGTGCTCGCTGCGCGCCTGCCCAGCTCCACTGCTTCATCGCTTGCCAGGGGCACGGGGCCGATGTCACCTAAGTCGTGATTGGAGTAGAGCTGCTGCAGGCACCTGTCACGCTCGTTGCAATCCCGCTCGTGCACCTGGGAGGTGGGGGGCGGTTGGAAGGGTTCTGAAACGTCAAGGCTGGGTGCATGCCCAGCCTGCTCGCTGCGTGCATGCCCAGCTCCACTGCTTGATTGCTGGTCAGGGGCCCAGGCCCTATGTCTCCCAGGTCGTGCTTGGAGAACAGCTGCTGCAGGCACCTGTCTCGCTCGTTGCAGCCCCGCTCGTGCACGTGAGAGAGAAGGGTGGTTGCATGGAGACAAAAGCTCTTACAACCATTCTGTCTCTTCAAAAAACAATACATGAAGCAGGCGCGCACCTCTTTCTCCACTTGCAACCGGCTGACCAGCTGCCTGTCCCGCTCGCTGCTCTCCCGCTCCGCCTCCTGCTGAATCCGCAGCTCACTCAGCTCCCGTGTGGTTTTCGCCAGGCTTCCCTCCAGCTTGGCCACCACACCCTCAAACTCCCGCCGCCACTCTTCGAGTTTCTCATCTGACTCTGCTCGGGGACAGATGGGGTTGAAGCAGGGGGGTTGGTTTGGGTCGACGCAGGAATCACCTCTCCACCGTCGCTGCCACGCCCTCAAACTCCAGCCGCCACTCCTCCAGCTGCTCGCCCGAGATTGCTCGGGGACAAAAGACATGCAGGCGAGGTCTTAAGGGCGTGAGGCCGTGGGGGTCTGAGGGCGTGGGGCACGACCAAACACCCGGTTCCCATATGGCAAGTAATGTGATTCTAAGACAATATTAGCATATTGTTGTTGCACTCAGCCAAGACAATGGCACACCTTATCTCGACTGGCAGTGATGTGAATGGCATACTAAGTAAGTGTAGCTAGGTAGACCTTAGCATATCAAGAATGGCCACACATCATCATTGTCTGACATGATGTTGGCGCGCTGCTGCACCTACTGCCGTGACAGCAGCTTCAGGCGCCCTCAGCCAAGACATTGGCGATTCATAATCAGCTGGAATGATATCAAGCATCGGTCACTCACCATCATTGTCTGACATGATGTTAGCGCGCTGCTGCACCTTCTGCCGTGACAGCAGCTCCAGCCGCCCCTCCTGCGTCTGCAAATCCGCCTTCAGCTGTCTCAACCGCGCCAAACCGCTCTCCACCTCGCCCTGCCGCGCCCGCCGCTCCGCAATCTGCCCCTCCAGCCTCTCGATCTGCCCTGCCAGGCGCTCTGACTGGCCTGAGTCTGCCTTTATGCCCTCCTGAAGCTGCTTGCATAGAATGAGGAGAGACGAGGAGACACCAAGAGATATGTGCAAGGAAGCGGAGCGTTGATAATAGACCCAGCCTGACTTCAAATCTCGATGGAATGAATGAATGGAGAAGTCAAGGGATTCACAGCCCCTTACGCTTGGGACCTCTCGTGTGTGTGAAATAGCACGTACCCGCAAGGACGTGTCGAGTATGTTTCTGAGGTTCTCCGCCTTGAGCTTCATCTCCTTTATAAGCTGCGCCTGCTCCTTGTGTACCTTCTTCAGTGCCTCCAGCGCCTTAGTGTA